GGTGTATGAGGCACTGGGGGTGCAGAGTCTGGGTGTGAGATGCCGGGGGGGCACTTACTTCTTTTCATGTTGCATGCCGCTCCCAGGCACTGGAGGCTTTCCCCAATGTTCCAATGGGGAAGCCACCTATGGTCCCGCTTCTCTGGGGCCCTGACACCCTGCGACCCAGCGGGGAACCACTGCCTGCCTGGCGCCCCAGCCTTGCACTCCCCACAAGATTAGAGCGTCAGTGCCGGCTTTCTGCAGGGGCGGGGAAGAGAAGGCCCTAGGCTCTGCAACAAATTCAGCTTGCGCAGCACACATGCACTTCCCCACAAGCCAGATCCAGCGCGGAGGCTTGGGGCTTTCTCTCCCCTCCCCTGCAGCAGGAAGCTGGCACTGGCACTCTAAACTTGTGTGGGGGGTAGGGGGCATGAGGCTGGAGTGCCAGGCAGGCAGCAGCAGTGGTTCCCCGCTGAATCAGGGAGTGGCAGGGCACCGGACCCACAAGCAGCAGCAGGGCTGGAGGAGGTTGGATGGGAAGCAGTAGGCCTCGGAGAACAGCAGAGCTCACTGAGCGCCCTGTGGCCATCCCCCATCAAAGCGCTGCTGGTGGGAGCTGGGGCATAAGGTGGAGCAGGAGTGCAGCGAGGAGCTGTTGCTGCCCTCTAACCCTCCTGCCAAGGAGCCAGGGGACAGCGGGGAGCCCAGGGAACCCTCTGAGGAGGGACCGGAGGAGCCTTGAGCCATGGCTTCCCCTTCTGACTCTGCCGAGGCTGGGGGAGCAGAGTGACGTGGTGATGTCGTCCTGCAGGAAAAGCTTTTTTATATAGAGAGGAAGATATTAAAGCCTCACAACTCTTTTGTAAGGTACTAAAAGTAGTAGACTTGTTTTATAGATGGGTACACTGAAACCCAGAAAGGTTATGGCTAGCTATATCCAGTTAACTTCAGTAACTTTCTCTTCTGTTTCACTGGACCATATTTTGCTGCCCTTACTCTCAGTGCACAGCACCATTCTCCCAGACAGCCCCATTGTGATTGATGTAAAGCAATGTTCAACACACGTAAAGGGAGCAGAACTTGGCCCTGTATTACAGAGGACAACGTGGCTTGGCTGTATACTTTTTGAAAAGTATGTGTTTAGATTCCCATCTCCATTTTGCCTGAAATAAACAATAAATTCTTAGACGTCTTAGAAGCCTAAAATTTATGCAAGTACACATTTACCAAAATAAACAAATTTTAACATCCCTACCAGGAACCCAGTGAGTCCAACACCAGCCCTGGTGACCCCCTTAAAACAAACTCATGAAACACTTTGTGTTTGTGAGTTACTGTTTGAAAACCAGTACAAATATAGAACAAAATAAATAAGCCTCTGTCTGAATGAAATTTTAGTTTTTACTGACTTTCCTGGTGGTTTTTATGTAGCTGGTTGAAAAACTAGGCACATTTCTGAGGACCCTTGTTAGAGAACCACATTGGGCAAGACTACACTACAAAGTTCTGCTGATATAGGTACGTCAGTTAAGGGTGTGAAAAATGTAGCTCCCCTCCTCCAAAGAACATAGCTATGCTAGCAGAACTCCAAGTATAGAGGCAGCTAAGCCAACAGAATAGTGCTTCTGTTGGAATTGCTAAGGCTGTGTCTACACTGCCATTTCCAGCGCTAAAACTTTAGTCTTTTGGGGGTGTGAGCGATAAAGTTTTAGCACTGAAAAATGACAATATAGACAGTGTTTTATAAAGCTACTGCCCCTGGTTTATGGGGAGTGGCCTCTCCCCTGGCTATAAAGAGTGACTACACTGCCCATGTTAGGGGATTCTAGTGGCAGCATTGTCGAAATACCCACCCAGACAAAGGGTATGAGAAAGTAAATATATTACCCCGTTGTACAGCTGTGGTACTAAGGCACAGAAAGATTGTGATCTATCACCACTCACATTGGAAATCTGTGGCAGATTCAGGTTTAACTAACATAGTGTAAAATTGTAAGAAGCCACCAGTGCTAAATACCTGTTCTCCTGAACTTTTGGCAGTGACAGTGGGAATTTCATAAAATTTCCCATCTAGATAAGGCTTTTGTCATTTCTTGACTATATTTCTCACCTCTAGGCCCTATTCTGTTTGGTATTTTCAACACCTCACAGTTTAATGTCTGTAAATTTAATTAGCATTCTGCTTATCCTGATTTCAGATCATTAAACAAAGGTGTTAAGTAAGCTGACTAATAAGAGAGCTTTTGCTCTAGCCCACTTGAGACCTTCTTTCAGTTCAGGGTATTGTGTTTTATCACTGCACTTGATTTGTTGTCCTACTGCAAGACCTCAGTCCCCATAGCAATGCTAGTATGAAAATTTCAATTAACTTTTCTTAACATTTACATACAATGCTCTGTCAAAGGCTTTACTGAAATCTAGCTATGACAGTGATAGACATAGTAGAAATGCATAGCACATGATACAAATGGATGTTTTCGCTGCACAATATATTAAAAATACAAGTTGGGAATAAGCAAAATAGAAAACTGAAGGGAAAAAAAATAGTCACCTACTGGATATGTCTACCAAAGGCACAAACAGACCCCTGACTGACTATTGGATTTAATTAAAATAGAATCACTACTAATATTTCAGTAGTTATAAATGCATCCTGTTCTTTTAAAAATAGAAATCAAAATCGTACATCTTCATAGGCGGATTTTTCTGACATGTTCCTAAGCAATCAGACCAGATTTGTCTCATTACCATAAAATCAAACCTACCCGATATTTCAGTTTGTGTCAACTATATTATTAACATATGGTGGACTGGCATACTATTGCAAAATGTATTTGATTAAAGTCAAGGCTTTATTGAGCTTAAATGGAATCTGAACCTTATTTAGATAAAGAAAAGCCTGATAAGAAATGCAGGATGACTGTTTTAAACCAAACTAAATAGTAATGGGACATAATTTATCCTTTTCCAAGTCAAACTGCAGCAAGTAAATATTGACTGCTGACTGGTTATATCAAGGTTGTTAATAAATCCACATATTTATGGACTCTACTACATTTGAAGTAAAGAAGAAGGAAACAAAATATTCCTGATTATTCCCAGCCAGTGCTTAGCACATGCAACTGGGTAGAAAGGCAGTGGTGGTTTTATACCTGTCATAAGTATCTAAAAGGGTGTTATAAGGTAGTGGGAGAAAAATTGTTCTCCTTGGCCTCTGAGGATAGGACAAGAAGCAATGGGCTTATATTACAGCAAGGGAAATTTAGGTTGGACATCAGAAAAAATTTCCTAACTGTCGGAGTGGTTAAACACTAGAATAAATTGCCTAGGGGGCTGTAGAATCTCCATCACCAGAGATATTTAAGAGCAGGTTAGACAGACACCTGTCAGGGATGATCTAGACAGTGCTTGGTCCTGCGGTGAGAGCAGGGGACTGGACTTGATGATCTCTCAATGTCCCTTCCAGTTCTAGTGTTCTATGATTCTATTATTCTAAATACTGAAGCCAAGCAGCCTCAAAGGGCCATTTCAGCAGCTGAGAATCTTTTATCAAGGTTCATGAGGGATGGTGATGTAGAGCTATAAAGATAGTCCTGGCATAAGGAGGGTGTTCAGAAGTAGCTAGAATCTTTTCTTCCTCACTTCTAGACCCAGATACAGAAGTATGTCTGCATGTTCTACGCCTTCTTCAGTCTGTGATTCTAGAGCCAGAAGTTTTAGCAAAGACAGCACCTGAGATGCGTGACACCTTGCCATTTCAACGTATCATAGCACTGTCAAAGAGCCGCAATGCAGAGCTGCAAACATTGGCGCAAGAACTGCTTGAAGACCTCAAAATCCTTGAGTGTGAAGTGTAGAGCTACAGTCACTGGAGTATTATGACATCACCTATTTACATTTTCCCCATATTTTTTATTTTGCAAGGGTAGGCAAAATAGTATAGCAGATTAAAAATATGCATATTGAGTAATTAGTAGAGATGGACTTGGATTGAAGCATTTGAGTCTATTTAGTTACCTGTGTCAGAATCCCTGCCTGAAGCCAGATAACATAGTCCAATAATAATTGAAAAAATAATAATTGAAAAAATATGTTGTTTGTTAGGTGTTTGAACATAATCCTAGAGGAGCTTCCAGAAGAAAGAAAGTTTAATTTGTTTAATAGAGTTTTGATAATAATGTGTTTCTAAAGTGATCCAAACCTGTTGGTGATACATAGAGAATAAAATAATCACCTCAACTATCGGTAGTGCATTCTTTATTTTCAAGGGTAACCTTTTGGTCCAGTTCAGCCCATCTCTAATAATTAGTGTGCTAAAAGTAAACTTTGATGCTTTTTATTACTCTAGTGTTTCAGAAGACATAAGACATTTTATTTCTGTTTCTTTTCTTTATCCTTTCTAATCAAAGGCAGTTGGAATTGTGTATACTGTATTTACAGTTTGCTTTCGAATTTTTCATTCAGATTCATTAGAGTTGCTGAGGAGCTAAGTTAGCAGCTGCCAATGAATAATAGCAACTGAGCTTCCCATGGGCCCACAGAAGGGGAAAAAATTGCTATGATATTTATATGTAGTTCCATAGCGAAAGAGGCTAAATTTAATTACTGCTTTGTCATGAACAACTGATGTATTTAGTTGAAATCCTCACTATTTATTAGGACTAAGCTTGCTTACCTCAAATAATAACCCTCAAACCAGCTATATTATATATTTTGTAATGCTATGATTTATGTGCCTATCAGTTATGCTGTCATTTTCAGTTCTCTTGTGTTTGTAATATAGCTTGAAATGTAACAATATTGGAAACAGTGACAGATAAAATATATACTTTTACAGGAACAACAACTTCCTCTTCTCTACTGGTGTTATGGTTCTTCACTGATGAAGCCAACACAGTAAGAAAAATTACAATCCTGATGTATTAGAAAAAATGCAACATTGTTGTCTTTTACATCATTGGTACAAAAGGCTCAGAACACAATCTTCTGACCTCCGTTTTGGCCAGTATTGTTGCTGTCTTGCATCTGTATCATGCTACAGCATTTTTTTAATTCAAGTAGTCACAAAACAATATGAAGCTTCAAGTTTCATCCCTGTTCAGCCAAGCATTTAACAAAGGCTTAACTTTGATTTGGGATTTAAGCACAAACGTAAACTTAAGCATAAGTGATTTGCTAAAGTGGAGCCCCAGTGCCACTGATGTTGATGATACAATGTGGCATAGTTGGTTACATGAAATCAAGTGCAAGTCCAAATACATTTTAAAAATTTCAGTAACTTATTTTTAATAGATATACAAACTTGTTCTGCATGGGATAGAATCCTTAGAACAATGCATTTTGTCCCTTAATTAGTTATTATGACAAATGGGTCATTGTACGACTAAGGAAGTATAAAATACATTAGATAAAGACATAGTAATAGAGCTTCCAAGAAAAGGGGTTTGGCACAGTGCGACAGATATATGATGCGAGAAAAATTAGTAGAAATGGATGTAAAGCGCCTTGTTGCAGAATTTTGCCAACATAGTAAAACATTCCATGGAGCCCAATTAGCACTGAATGAAGAAAATACAAGATATAAACTTCCCAGAACACTTCCAGTAAATCAAAGATTTCTCAGAAAATATGAGACTGATATCACAAATGATATCGCACTAGGAGGTGAGAAGCGGGATGGTGTAATTAAAAGAAAAGGATGCCATGAGCACTTACTGGGAATTGTACTGTTTCTGATTCAAGAATATATAATCCTCACAATGTGTAGATCTTGGTAAGAGTAAAACTTCATAAGTATTAACATGCACGTTTTGAAATTTGCTTTCTCGCTTTGATGAAAAACTCTCCCATGATGAAATCAAAATGGTGGTAACCTGGAATTTCTTGGACCATCAACTCAAATTGTTTAATTTTAAAGTACAGTAAAAGACAAAAACTGTTTAATCACACAGTTTTCTGTGGATAGATGTTCTCTCCCATTAATGTTTTTAATCAAATCATTTGAAGCCAATAAGCCACGGGGGAAAATAGTTCAGGGTATTTGTGGTCAGTCCTGTTTAGTTTAATTTTCAACCCACTGAGAAAAAAGGGTACATTCAGCACTTCCATTCACATTGTAGGTTTTGGTAAAAACCTTATAATTTTTGACCTGAGTGGGTTATCAACTCTGATAGTGAGCCCCTGTAGCTCCCAGCTCCCTTTCTCTAAGATTTAACTTGCTGGGGCTATGCTCTGCTATAGTCAGATGTAATGCCATAGATCCACCAACTTTTGAGGAAATGCCTATTTTTTTAAGTTTAATTATGCTGTTTGAATAAATACAATTATAGTTGGCTCTATAAAACTCACTTCATCTTCTGAAACACCTGAATTATGAAAAGCTCCAGAGACATACAGTGATAAAACAGATAATGTTTTAAGATCGCTATTGCATTTTTAAATACGTTCTTTTTATTGAAGAGTGTTCAACTTGTGTCTTACAGTTCTTAGTGAAAATGTTGTTTATTACTTGGTTTTATGCAAAAGAAAAGGTATTTTGTTTCAGTTCACACAGAAAAGTTTGAGAGTCACTAGGGCTGAATTGTATCGAGGTCAGAGAAAGAAGTCGGTTTTCAATTTATTTTTTATGAAAGCCTTCACTCTTTAAATATTGTGGTGGAATAAATAGTATCTTACTAGCTATAGTACTTATCAGTAACTATAATATCGTGTTGCTGTCTTTATTTTCTTCCTGTATCCCAGATTCAGTAGGCCCAGGAGTCAACTTCCTTCTCCAGACTGCTGAGATCTGGAAGCAATTTGTTACTGGTTACATTTAATAGAAGCTTTTGTACTGGCAGTAAAGTCTGGTGGCTTCCAAGCACAAATAATCTGACAAATCCTAGTTCTAGTTGTTTGCGGTTTTATGTCCACCTTACTAGTAATAAAACAGGGTAGTAGTACATTTTCAAATTTTCCAATTGTTGCTAACAACAGTTTATCTTACTGGGTGTTATTAAAGCTGGAAGTTCACCATTTGAAGTACTGTCAGCTACAACTTCCCTGAATCAAATGTTTTTGTCGTGAATAATCTTCATTTAGTACCTTAATTTATCTCCAGGTGACTACTACAGAAAATTAAGATGTTAGGTTACTGTAGACCCCCCCCCAACATTGTACATTTGGGGAGTTTATAAAACAGGGAAAGAAGCTGACTTTGTTGAAATAAACAGATGTTACTCAACTTTGGAGTGTGTGTCATTGTTTTCTTCAAATAAAAAGAGGAACATAGATGATTATATAGCAGCAACACCTTTTATTGCTACTGTAATGAAAGATCTATCAATTTATACATTATAAATCTCTTACTTTATTGGAAATGTTCCCTCTATTATGAAACTTCAGGATGTTGGGAAATTTTAGTAATTAAAAAAGTGTTTTGGAAATTTATGTTACACTTTGTGCAATAGTTTGTAATTAAAAAAGTGTTTTGGAAATTTATGTTGCACTTTGTGCAATCGTTTAAGTTTCTTTTCATATGGCAGGTGATTAATCACTTTGCCTGTTGTCCTCCAAAACATTAATTTACATAGGACTGAAGTCAGCTTTCACTAACATTCATGTAAATCCTGGGTAACACCATTAAAGCCACCTTTCTTATTGCATATTGTCAGCTCCCATTGGTATTAATTAGATTTTCCATCAAGGAGAGAACTAGAATTTGGTATTTGCATTGAGGACAGTGATGGAGAAGTTTTCGATTTTCACCAGTGTATATGAAAACAGAATATGGTCCTTACACTAACATAAGCCAAAAGGTCAAAAATCTGTTGTGAAAATTCCTATTTACCTCACAGATCACAATGTGCAATTAAAATTAAACTTTGATTCCTTGGAGAGGTGTGTACTCTGCTCACGGCAACTGAAGTTGTTCAGCTCTCGGGCACTGCTGTGGAAAAGTCTGGTTTTTTATTTTCTAAGCTGACAGGAACAAAAATCAAAGTTAACAGAACTCTGTGGAAAAGGCAGGTGGATTATTCTTCCACCTGATTTTAAAGGATTATACACTTGTATTCATCCTGGCATACAACTGATTGAAAAACTAGAGAGCTTTTGTAGAATTAGTGGGCAGGCTGAAGTTGGAGGGAGGAGCAACAGAACTCATACTGATTTGTGGGCCCTCTTGATGAGAATGTTTATCTTGTACTTTCACCGTGTGTGGATGATCGCTCCACTTCATGAAATGGCAGCATAAGAGTTCACTTACAGGAGAAGAGTCTAGAAAATGGGTGAGTGTTGTGATTAGTTATAGCCAGGAGTTGGGTATTTCAGGTTACATAGGCAGTGGTGGTCTGTGGGATAGGTCATGCAGGTAGAAAAGAGTATGGAGAAGACATTCATATTGTGTGATCTATGTAAGACATGGTGTAGTGCTGATGTCGGGGGGGGGAGGAGAGGGAGGATTTTGTGACATTGTGTGTGGCTCAGAGACTGGGAGAGTGTGTGTGTCACACAGAGACAGTGTATTATGTGACAGTGACAAGAGATGTGTATGTGTGTGCTGGTTGCTGCTGGGTAAGTTTCTGAGAAGCCATGTGCTGTCTCTAAAACAGGGAAAGCTCTTCCCCCCCCCCCCCCCCTGACATCAGCACTCCCCTCCACCCTACTTCCCCATTTTGTACAGTAGCAGGAGAATCACAGGAGCAGCTTGGCTGCAGGGTGGAGCAAGATGTGGGGAGAGGCAGCTGAACACAGGCTGCTGGCTATAAGTATGCACGCTCCGCTAATCAGCTGGGTGGGCCGAATCCCACCCCTGGACTTGATTTTGCCCATTCCAGGGTTTCCACTGTAGCATCTTGGGGACTAAGAATATATATGAGCACAGCCCATTTCTTCAGATGAGTGGAGCACAAGGGCATTCTCTGGGGTTCAGTTCCTAGAAGGGCTGTGTATTTGCTTGCTGGGAAAAAGTGGTCCTGTCCCTCAGTTGAAGCAGGCTGGAGAGCTGGGCTCAACACAGCAGGGTTACGGAGTACCCAGGCTGTCAGAGGAAGAAGGCTCCATGGTGCCTCAGCACATCAGGTCACAATCCCAAGGGGATCCTGACCCATCGCAGATTGAATGCAGCTGAAATGGGAGTGCACAGCGCTCTCTCCACGCTGCTTTAAAGAACTACTTTTGTGAAGCATTATGTCCCTGCAGTGTGGCACACTGCTGCCATGCAGCGCGGAGGAAGCACAGCGATCTGTTTACGAGAGCACACGGGGTGAGTCTAGGTAACCAGCCATCACGTAGCTGAGCACCGTCCCCAGTATGATTCCACCCAGCTGCTTTTAGTGGAGGAAGTGGAAGGACCCAGATGGACACTCCTTGGCAAAAGCCTTGACCAGCTGCACTCAGTGAAGTGATACCCTGGCTGAACAGCACCAAGTGGCAGGAAATGATAGTGTGGCAAAGCTGGGAAGTAGTGGGGGCAAAAGACCTACTTGGCTTCAAGATTAAGCTAGATGGGTTTATGAAGGAGATGGTTTGATGAAATAACATGATCTTGGTAACTAATTGACCTTTCATTATTGGTGGTAAATAGGCCAATGGTGGGACGATAGGAGTTACTATAGAGAACTTTTCCTGGGTGTCGGCTGGTGAGTCTTGCCCACATGCTCAGGGTTCATCTGATCGCCATATTTGGAGTCGGGAAGGAATTTTCCTCCAGGGTAGATTGGCAGAGGCCCTGGAGGTTTTTCGCCTTCCTCTGTAGCATGGGGCATGGATCACTGCTGGAGGATTCTCTGCATCTTGGGGTTTTTAAACCAGTTGAGGACTTCAATATCTGAGATACAGGTGAGAGGATTATTCCAGGAGTGGGTGGGTGAGATTCTGTGGCCTGCATTGTGCAGGGGGTTGGACTAGATGATCATAATGGTCCCTTCTGACCTTAAAGTCTATGAGTCTATGAGACATGGGGCATGGATCACTGCTGGAGGATTCTCTGCATCTTGGGGTTTTTAAACCAGTTGAGGACTTCAATATCTGAGATACAGGTGAGAGGATTATTCCAGGAGTGGGTGGGTGAGATTCTGTGGCCTGCATTGTGCAGGGGGTTGGACTAGATGATCATAATGGTCCCTTCTGACCTTAAAGTCTATGAGTCTATGAGACTAGCAGTGGCTGCAGAACTTGGATGCAGAAGGCCACTGTCCTGGAAACCTGTACAGAGCGGTAGTGCTGGGCCCAACAAGTAGCACACAGTTCACTACCCCTGAGTACTACGGTTCAGTTGTGAGGGAGGTAGATGGGTTGTTAGGTCAGAATGGTTGGTAATGCACAGGAGACAACTGATGCCTTTGAATGGCTGGGGATTACACAGAAGCCGGGGAGGAGACCCATTATTTGCTCCCCGCACCACGCCTCAGAGTTCAATAAAAAAGGATATTTTTTCTTCAAGGGCCTGGAAGGTCTGTTTGCTCACCATGGCAGGATCATTAACATGAGTATGGAGTAGCCTGGAAATATCAATGAAGCTAGACTCTTTGGATCTGGTATAATTCAAAGAAAAGCTAAAGTTTTGCTCCAAGCAATCAGCATGAGCATTAACGGAGTTAAAATGCTGTCATCCTGGGAGACCCAGCTTAGCCTGTGCTTCCAGGGCATAGGAAGCCTTTAACGGTGGTGATTAACTATAGCAAAATCTGTGCACTGGATATCTGGAAAACAGTAAGGAAGATGGAGGTGTCTCATGGCATGGCTTGCGGCATCCTAGAGGTAGTTGCCTCGTATTATTGGTGCTTGCTGAGTGTTGCATAGCATTTGTGAAAGGGTGAAAGCCTCACAGAGGCATGGCTGACAGAGACAGTGGGACTGTCAGAGTGTTATGGCAATGGTGCCTCTGCCCAGTATCTCCACTATACAGTCCAGCAGACCCTAGACTAGTGGAGTACACATAGGTAATCAGGCCATTCTAGGTGTGAAGCAATGCACTGTATGGTAGCCTGATACAGGCAAGGCAAGAACACTGGTGCATTGGTGCCCCTGGTTCCCACAAAGGTTAGAATATGATTGTAATGATTAAGGTCTATGTTGTGTGCTGCCACAAACCAAATTCTAACTATTTTTGTATCTGCATTTCCAGCTCATTTAAAACTTGGCTCTAGGTGTCTAGGAGCAGATCCCCTGCTGATATAAATTGGCTACAGTGGAGCCATGACATGAATTCTCCCCTAAGCTCCAGTACAGAGAGAGCTTGCAGGAAGCATCAGGGAAGTTGTTCAATGAAGAAATTCTGTAAAATGTGTCCTGAATGACTGAAGCTTTTAAATCCAAGCTTTGTCCACTTACACCTCTATAAACCGGAACTCCCTGGTCTCGGACCACAGATGTTCCAAGATCAGAGAGTCCCAGCGTGCTACAGAGTGTGGGGAGG